GGGAACGGCCGAGAGGTCTGGGGCGGCGGCGCCTCGGGGAGGCCCGGGCTGGGGGAGGGAGGCAGGGAGGTGAGGGAGGGAGCTCTCTGGAGCTTTTTCGCAAGAGAGGGGCAGCAGAGACAGCCCCTCAGAGCATCTGCACCCGAGACGGCGCCGAAGCCCCGCGGCAGCAAGAAACACCCCAACCCCTCCAAGAAGCACCCCAACCCCTCGACCTGCCGTGTGCGGAACAGTCGTGGGCGTTTCCTGAACTGCATTTCCCGGTCGTTTCCGTTCCCTGGGTACGCTTACTAAGAGGCTTCGCTTGTAGGGGTGCTTCTTCAAGGAGGGCGGTCCTGTGCCCTCGGGTGCTGTGGGCGGGAGTGCACTGCTCGACAGCTCAAAACTAAGCGCAGAGCTTTCAACATTCGAGGCGCGTGCATGTTGGCGACCGCACGCAGCAAAGAGAGCACACAAGTACAGCACACGATCAGCAGGGACACCTTGATGCTGAAACATCTCGGTGAAGTCTTCCGCGGTCCTGGTACAGGCCCGCGGCATTAGCATCGCAGCTGCACCTGGGAAAGGCAAAGAGAAGTGAGGAGGGAGGGACGGAGGAGGATCCAGACCACCGACGCCGTGATCTTTTGGCGGCAAGCGAGGGGGGAAATGAGAAGGAGAAGGCCTTCTCAGAAGGCGGCGGGACTTCTCCAAAGGCCTCGCGCCTTCTGAGAAGTTTTCTGTGCCTTGGGGGAAGGCTTCGAAAACTTCTTAGAAGGCCCGGGGGCTTCCGAGCCTTCTGAGGAGGCCCGCCCCCTCTCGCTTCCCCCCCTCGCTCGCCGCCGAGTCTTGCAGCGCGTGGACCCCCCCACCGCCCGGAGGCCTCGACCCCTGCCCTGGGACTGGCCTGCCGTCCAGAGTTGAGAAGGGCTGGGGGGTCAGGTCTGCAGGACACCCCAAGCGGACGTCAAGGGGCGCAACCAGCCTGTTCGGCCAGGCTGCAACCGATGCACCACACCAGGCGTCGAACCAAAACTTTGGTCACGGGCGAACGGCTGGACTCTGCACATCTTCGTCGGCTCAACCGGCGAGGCGTTCGACCACCTCGACGTTCCTTTTTTGAGAGTCCTGCAGAGGAAGGCGCTCTCTGACCCTCGGCCCCACTCAACTCCTCGTCCTCGTCCTCCTCCTCCTCCTCCTCCTCCTCCTCCTCCTCCTGCCCCTCCCCCTCCTCCTCCTCCTCCTCCTCCTCCTCCTCCTCCTCCTTCTCCTCCTCCTCCTCCTTCCCCTCCTCCTCCCTCCTCCTCCTCCTCCTCCTCCTTCCCCTCCTCCTCCTCCTCCTCCTCCTCCCTCCTCCTCCTCCTCCTCCTCCTCCTCCTCCTCCTCCTCGTCGTCCAGAGCCGCCTTCGTTTAATGACGAGGGCCCAGTGCAAGCCCCCCTGGAGGCCGAGAGCGGCTGAAAAAACTCTATCAAGCCCTATCTTGTGGCGCGTTCTCTTTCACGGCGCGGGGGGGGGCCTTGGGGGAGAGGCGGATGGGAGGAGAGCTCAGAGAGGAGGAGGAGGAGGAGGAGGAGGAGGAGGAGGAGGAGGAGGAGGCCCTCGGTCCCCCCTCCTCGCTCATGCTCGTGGCTCCTGGCCTCTGCTCGTGGAGGACGTAGGAAGCAGGAAGGAGAGGAGGCGGAGGAGGAGGAGGAGGAGAGTTGGGAGACCAGTGCGAACCCAAGAGTCATCAACGCTCTTAGAACAAACCCTCCCTCCAAGCTCCTCCCTCTTCACAGGCCCCAGCAACAGTGCGTTTACATTGACGGAACTGCCTCGTTGGAAGACAACTGTTTGAAGACCTTGAAGCATGCCAAAACATTGTTCTCGGGATTCTAACGCCACGAATCAACCTGACTGTTGCGTCTTGACGATCCTGAATCGTGCCAGAACATTCCTGATATTGCAACACAGCACATCGACGCAACTGTTGCACCCGCAGAATCCTGAATCCTTAAAACCAACAGCTCTACTACGTTGATGATGGGAGCCCGTGAAGCTCTTGCAAATGTTGAAAGAGAATGTGCGCGGCGCTAGGGCGAGAGTCACATTTGGAAAAAGAGCCGCCCTCAATCCGTGAAGCTCTTGCACATGATTAAAACGAATGTGCGCGGCGCTGAGGCGAGAACCACATATTGAAAACGGGTCGCCCTCAATCCGTGAAGCTCTTGCATGTCTTAACAACGAACTTGCGCGGCGCTGAGGCGAGAGCCACATTGTGAAAACCACCCGCCCTCAATCCGTGAAGCTCTGGCAGTTTGTTTAAACGAATGTGCGCGGCGCGACGGCGAGAGCCACAATTTGAAAACCACCCGCACTTCATCTGTGAAACTCTTGCAAGTGTTTTAAGCGAATGCGCGCGGCGCTGAGGCGAGAGCCACATTTTGAAAACCACCCACCCTCCATCTGTGAAGCTGTTGTCATTTTTAAGCTTCGGAATCATAAATGGTTCGGAGGTCTCGGGCGAAACGCCCGGCACGCCCTAAAAACTGGCCTCGGGATGCGACAGGGAGAAGTTACTTATAGGGAACAGGAATGGAGGAGGAGGAGGAGGAAGAAGAAGAGAGTTGAGAGACCAGTGCGAACCCAAGAGTCATCGAAGATATTGGACTTAACCCTCCCTCCAAGCTCCCTCTTCGCAGGCCCCTACAACGGTTCATTTCCATTGAGGGAACTGCCCCGTTGGAAGACAACCGTTTGAAGATCCTGAAGCATGCCAAACACTTGTTCTCGGGAGTTCAACGCCACGTATCAAACAGACTGCTGCGATTTGACGATCTGTATTCGTGCCATAACGCCATTTTTGGGATTTCAGCACCGCGAATCAGATTGAATGTTGAACCAGAATAATCCTGAATCCTTCCGAAAATCCTATTTCTGGTACGTTGTTCATGGGAACCCGTGAAACTCTTGCAAATATTTTAAACGAGTGTGCACGGCGCTGAGGCGAGAACCACATTTCGAATAAGAGCCGCCCTCAATCCGTATAACTCTCGCTAATGTTTAAAACGAATGCGCGTGACGCTAAGGCGAGAACCACACTTTGAAAACGACCCGCCCTCAGTCCGTGAAACTATTGCATTGCTTTTCTTGTTTAATATAAAAAACAAATGTGAGCGGCGCTAAGGCGAGAGCCACATATTGAAAAGGAACCGCCCTCAATCAGTGAAACTCTTGCAAGTGTTTAGAAAAATGTGCGCGGCGCCAAGGCGAAAACCACATATTGAAAACGACCCGCCCTCAATCCGCGAAAATCTTGCAAACGTTTAAAAAGAATGTGCGCGGCGCTAAGGCGAGACCCACATATTGAAAACGACCCGCCCTCAATCCGTGAAACTCTTGCAATTTCTTTAAACGAATGTGCGCGGCGCCAAAGCGAGAGCCACATGTTGGAAATCACCCGTCTGTAATTCGCGAATATCTTGCAACCTCCTTAAACGAATGTCCACGGCGCCAAGGCGAGAACCACATTTTGAAAACGACCCGCCCTCAATCCGTGAAGCTCTTGCAGATTTTGAAATCGAATGTGCGCTGCGCTAAGGCGGGAGCCACATTTTGAAAACCAACCGCCCACCATCTGTGAAACCGTTGTCACTTTTGAAGCTTCAGAACCATCAATGGTTCGGAAGTCTCCGGCGAAACGCCCAGCCCGCCCTAAAAACTGGCCTCAGGGTGCGACGGGGAGAAGTTATCGATAAGGAGACAGAATGGAGGAGGAGGAGGAGGAGGAGGAGGAGGAGGAGGAGGAGGAGGAGAGTTGAGAGAGGAGGAGGAGAAGGAGGAGGAGAGTTGAGAGCGGAGGAGGAGGAGGAGGAGGAGGCGGCGAAGGAAGAAGAAGAAGAAGAAGAAGAACAGGGAGGAGGAAGGCGGTGGAGGAGCGGAGGAGGGAGCAGAAGGGAGAAGGGAAGAGTCCACGTCTAAGCCTGTCGCCGGAAGACGGAGGGGCGGCCCACAGGGCTCGGGCAGGCGGCGGCAAAAGACGGCAACCTGTACAGGCCGCCGAGGAAACCGAGACTCAGCGGGCGTACGAGTGTGGTCGCCAGTGGCTGCGCGACGAGAAAAAAGGCAGGATCGGTCGACATCGAACCGGGAAACCAGGCCGAATCAGAACGTACGACGGATCGGGCCGCAGCGGCAGAGAAAGTGAGAATCGAATCGGATCGGATCGGCTGCGCCAGCATGCACAACAACGCAATGCAAGCATCGGGCCGCCTCGGATCGCCGGAAAATCGGAATGCAATCGGAACGGCCCGGCCGAAACCGAGCTCAATTCGGATCGATAGTTTCGAAAATAGACCCTGGAAAAGAGTCTGGCGCGAGGCGACCCAAACATCCGACGGTTCGGAGAAATCGAGACGGTCAGATGTTTCACAATTCTGAGCCTTCGGCGGCCAAGTTCGGGGCCCGGGGACTGTCAAAAAATGACCCCGGCGAAGTACCCAGCCCCAAGGAACAGTCCAGACGTCTGCAGGGGGCCATGCCTCGAAAAGACCGACCCGTCGGACGTCTGGGGGCGCGGGGGGCCTGACGCAGTGGCGTACGCGAGCCGCCAGCGCAGCACGCCGCGCGGAGGAGCTGGCGCTTGCGCGTGACCTTGCGCGGGAAGCTTGCGTCGGTGATCCTCAGAACGTGCGTTGGCGGTTCGTGTCCACCGAAACCCATCAATACGACGCAGGCGGCCCCATCAGGGCCGACACGGGCTGCGGGCCATCGACGGATCTGAACGGGGTGGGCACACATTGGGCGAACAACGTCCTGAGGATCATCGGCTAGGCACCAACGTCCGCATAGCCGATCCCGACTTTCTACGTCGCTCCTTTGCTGCCAGCGGAGACTGCCTTAACAGGGCGGAACGCCTGATGTATTCTCAACCCACAGGGGCTCTTTTCACGCCTGACAGCGGCGACAAAAAGAGGAGCCCCAGCGGAGCGACGACGAGGATGCGGACAGGGAGGGGCTCAAGAGAGGAGGCAGGCATCCTCAGTGGACAGTGGCCTCGCCGCACGCCGCGCCGAAAAGCCAGCAGTCGTTGTCCTCGCAGCTACGCTCGGCGATCTCGGGCACGTCTTCGACAAAGGCGTAGCAACGACCGCGGAACCTCGGGCCGATGTTCCAGACGATGTTCCTGTAGCCCATGGACGCCGCGGCGTTCGCGCAGTCGGCGTAGTGGTGGGCAATGCCGATGCCGTACCAGCCGCCGCTCTCTGCAGAACTGGTGAACTTGCGGGCCGAGCCCTGCGGCGAGCAGGCATGACGCGAAGCCTCTGGCGCGGGCTGCACCTCCGTCTCGTTGGCCTCGGGCGCGACCGCCTCCTTGGGCTCTGGTGTGGACGAGGCCCGCACTCTGTCCAGAGCAGCCTGGTCCTCCACTTCCTCCGCGGCGTCCTGACCCACCCCGGAGAACGCCCCCGCGACGACATCCACGCACTTGATGGTGAGCTTGCACCGGTGATGCACGGACCCCGGCTCGTAGCTCCAGAACTTGCATGGGGTCCGGCACTTGTCGCGGCAGTCGTCCCAACTCCTGGCGGGCCCGTCATAGATCGGCCTGCCCGCGCAGAAATCATCAGCCGGCCCGTAATCCCCCCATTCGACCAGATGCTCTTCCCCGGCACCCGGCTGCGGTGGCTGGGTCTGTGTTGGCTGAGTCGGCAACTCGGGCGGCGGCACAGGAGCCGCCAAAGACTTCAGGTCCTGGTCGAGCTGCGCCTCGAATGCGTGCCGCCCGGGGAGCAGAGCCGCCGCGGAGGGTGCGACGAGGTCCCTGAGCACCGAGAGGGAGTGTTCTCGCTGGGACACTGGCTGTGGGCTGGCACCCGCCTCTGGAGCCAGGGCCAGCGCCGAGGCCCCCCTACCGAGGGCCAACCAGATGGCTCCTGTCGCGGGCGAGCACCGCATGGTTTGCCGGAGAGGATATGGAGTCACGTGGCGCTGTGTGCACCTCACGGGCTGTGTGCACGCAGCCCCCTTGGCCTAGATGTGTATGGTATGATCTGCGGTCGCGGAATCAGCAACTCGAAGGGCAATGGTTGTGTGTGACAGAGTGTGCAACAGTCTACCTAGCCTAAAATACAATTTTTCAGCCAAGGTAACTACGGATCCTCCCGATGATGAGCGGGAGGAGGACCCTCCTCCCGAGCCAGACTCGTTGCAGGCCTCGGCGGCTTGGGTGTTTCTTCAAACATACAAACTCGTGAAGTTCCTCGAGGTTCGTCAGGGAATCATCAAACTGTCTTTCAGGCCCCCAGAATAGGAACTCCAGAAGAGTGCGTCGGCAATACATGAGGCTTCCATACCAAGTCAATGGGAATCCTTAAGTTGTTTTGAAGAGCCCTGGGTATCCTGCAAACAAACACCTGGTATCCCTAAGATGTCCTGAGGTCTCCTCTGGGCTTCGCTATCCTTTGACATGCCTTCAGCTCCCTTGGCAACTCATAACTGGAGTCACGTTGTGAAAAGGTTCGCGCCTTGACTCCTTACGAGGGCGACTGTCGCACGCAGCTCCTTGCAACCACGAAGTGCCTATATGTCTTATGAGTCTGTGCAGCACGCACGCACGCGCTCCGTGTGTGGAGGGTGCCACATCACTCGGGCACTCGGCGACACCTCGGCGAACGCCTCCGTTGCACGGGCCGCCCACGAGGGGCCACCGAGCAAAGCCCCCGCGGACCCACCAGGCGCACTGCGCCCCCAGCTCACGAGGGGCCCACACCGGGCCACGAACCGGGCGCCGAGCAGAAAACCCTGGGGAACCACCAGGAGGAGGAGGAGGAGGAGGAGGAGGAGGAGGAGGAGGAGGAGGAGGAGGAGGAGGAGAACGGGGAGGAGGAGGAGGAGGAGGAGGAGGAGGAGGAGGAGGAGGAGGAGAAGGAGGAGAAGGAGGAGGAGGAGAAGGACGAGGAGGAGAACGCAAGGGGCGCCCACGAGGCCACACGCCCGACCACCAACGGGGCACCAGGCGAAACCTCTTGCTGACCCGCCCGGCGCACGGGGGGCACCCACGAGGCGCGTCCACGACTAGAGCCACCAACAGGACACAAGGCGAAACCACAGCGGACCCGTCCAATTCCGTAAGTAAGTCATCTAAGCGACTCCCTGGAGCAAGCACGAATTAGGGAAAAACTTGACAAAAGGACCCCGTTACGTGCAAAACGCCACCGCGTCGTACCTCGAGTGACTTGCGAAAACCTCTTTGGTATCGCATGAGCGGCATTGCTTGTCTAGTATCCCCTTATATGTATGTATGTATGTGCATATATACGTAGATATCCGCCGATCCGGCGTGTGAGTTTCAAAGACCCTCAGAACAGCCTGAGCCTCAATTCTTGAGCTTCAGCTCTATTGGGGGGGGGGGGGGCCCGGGTGGCTCTGCCGGGGGTCGATTTAATTCCTGGGGCGGAATCGGAGCTCCAGCTCATTCCGGGACGGACCCCTCGGCCAGGAGGGCCCCAACATGGGCCAAGAGGGCCCCGAGTCGCCGAACGATCGAAACAAGACGCCCAAGCTGTCCCCCAAACGGCTCCAGAAGCCTCCAAGATGCCCTCAAAAGCCCTGAAAAAAAAGGCCTCCCAAAGAAGGGCCGAAGAAGCAACACGTGTCCCTTTCCTTCGGGAAAACAAGCAATTTCAGCGTAGTCGCCTCTCGGGCCTTCAGAGCGTCGCAAACGCCCCAAGAGAGCCCCAAAACGGCCCGAGAAGCCGCCAAGAGGGCTACAATACAGCCCAGGAAGGGCCCAAGATGGCCCAGGAGGCCCCCGGAAAGGCCCAAGAAGGCCCCAGGACGGGCCCAAGAGGCGCCTGAGAGGGCGCCAAACAGCGGAAGAAGTGCCGAAGACGGTCCAAGAAGCCCCCAGCAGGCCACCAGAGGTTCCCAAGAGGCCTGAAGACGCCCCAGAACGCCTCCAACTGGCCCCCAAGAGGCCCCCAAGCCCCCAAAAGGCCCCCAATAATCTGAAAAATGCACCCGAAACGCCTTCTAGAGGCCTCCAAGCTGTCTCCAAGACTCCCCCCGTGAAGCCCAAAACCGGCCCCGATGCTTCTTCCACGACACTTACGTCTGAACACAAGCGCTGCAATACAACAGGTTTTTCCACGCTTTCACATACTCTCCCGTCTTCGGTGTCCTCAACATCCATGATCCCACGAGGGCCCACAAAGGACCTCGCGAAGGCCCCAGAAACCGCCAAAACACCATGGTTCCCAGCAGAGGCCGGTGATGCGCAAAGCTCCACAAAGAACTGCGACGCAGACAGCTCGAGCACAAAGCTTTTCAGACAGTGCGCCAAATCGGCGAGGTGTCAACCCAAAGAGGGCTAACACCTGGCCCCAAAGAGGCTTTCCAACAACCGCCGAACATCTCCAACGACTGCCAAACATCTCCTCATCCTCGTCATGCTCCTCCTTCTTCACCTCCCCCTCTTCCACTTCCCGTTTCCTCCTGCTCCTCCTACGCCTGCCCCTCCCCCCTTCCACCCGCCTCCACCTCCTCTTCCTCCTCCTCCTCCTCCTCCTCCTCCTCCTCCTCCTCCTCCTCCTCCTCATCATCATCATCATCATCATCCTATTCCGTCGCCTCCATTCCCAATCCTCATCATCATCCTCACCGCTCGCCATCGTCGCCGGTCATGACTGCCATCGTGCGCTTCCGGCAGCACCGGAGGCGTTCCGGATCGGCGGCACTGGCCGGAGACCGCTACAATATATATATATATGCTGCATACATATAGCCCTATACATCTGCAAATTTATATACATAGGTGTGTGTATATATGTATATACAAATGTGTAGAATTGAATAGATGTATTTATGTCTGTATATCCAGACACACATGTAGACACACGTACTGCTATATCTATATATATATATACACACATAACAGACACACACTGATGGATAGGACGGCCGAAGAAGCTACACAGATCGCCCCAACATCCAACATGGCCCAAAAGGGCCGCACGACGAGCCCAGGACGGCCCAGACGGTCCCAAGACGCTCCAAGAGAACCCCCAGAGGGGCTCTAGGCGGCCCCAGAGAGCCATGAGACAGCCCAACTGGGCCCCCAGACCGCCCCAGCACAGCCCCAAGAGGCCACCAAGAGCGCTCTGAGGGACCAAGACGGCCCCAGAGGGCCCCAAGACGGCCCAGGAGGCCCCCAAGACGGCCTGAAAACGGCTTCAAGAAACCTCCAAGAGGGCCCACCCCCTCCACTAGCACGGCGACTGTCAATGCATTCAAGAGAGAGAGAGAGAGAGAGAGAGATATATATATATATATATATATATATGTGTGTGGCACACAGGCGTTTGCACCACCCCTGCTCCAGGAGGGGGCACGGGCGGCAATGGCGCCTCCCTGAGGCCCTCCACGGATTCCGAAAAGACGCAGGAGGCTCCCAAGACGGTCCAAGAAGGTACCGAGTCGCCGCACGATCGCTCGAAGACGCTCAAGATGGCTCAAGATGGCCCAAGAGGCATCCAAGACGCCCCAAAAGGCCTCCAAGAGGCCTCCCAAGAGGGCCCCAAGACGCAAAAAGTCATGGATATTCTTACGGTTTCTGAAGGATGTGGGCGCTCTCGCCTTTCGACTTTCTCACGATTCACAATGGCCCAAAAGGCACCCAAGACCACCCCAAAACGGCCCAAGAGGCCTCCAAGAGGGCCCCAAGACAGCCGAAGAGGGCCCCAAGACAGCCCAAGAGGCGCCCAAGACGGCCCAAGAAGGCCCCAAGACGGCCTCAAAGAAGCCTAAGAGAAGGAGCACGAACCAAAAATCCGAGCCTTCCGCCCCAAGAGGCCCAGCTGGATCCGCCGCCTCCTTTTGATTTATCAAAGGGGTGCCTAGCGTGCTAGACCCTCTCGATTTTGGTTTTGGTTCTTTTTCCAAAAGAACTCCCCCTGGGGCTCCGGCGCGTCCCGCCGGCCACCCGGAAGAGGTGGTTGCCATCGCCAAAAACGGCCGTTCCGCTCGGGACATCCTCAACAAATCGCGAAGATGGCCCAAAATGACCTGCAAGATGCCTCCAAGACAGCCAAGATGGCCTCCAAGACGGCTAAGATGACCCCAAGATGCATCCAAGACGGCCCAAGATGGCCCCAATATGGTTTAAGACGGCCCAAAAGGCCGGCAAGAGGCCTCCAAGACGGCCCAAGAGGCCTCCAAGAGTTCCTCCAGGAAGGCCCGACGAGGCCAAAATCATTGATTTTCCATAGGTTTTTGAAGGATTTGGGCATTTGCGTCTTGTCGGCTTTCCGACAGCCCGTGACGGCCCCAGAGGCCGCCAAGGCCCCAAGATCGCCCAACAGGCCTCCAAGATGGCCCCATGACGGCCCAAGAGGCCCCCAAGACGGCCCCAAGAGGGCGCCAAGACGGCCCAAGAGGCCTCGAAGACGCCCAAGATGGCCTCCAAGACGGTCCTGGAGCACCCCAAGTCGGCCCAGAAAGGCCCCCGAAACGGCTTCCGACGGCGTCAGACGTGCCAGGAGCCCACCAAGATGGCCGAAGGTGGCTCGCAGCTGGTCCAAGACGGCCCAAGAGGCCTCCAAGAGGGCCTCCAGGAAGGCCCGAAAGGGCCCAAATCATTGATTGTCCTATGGTTTTCGAAGGATTTTTCCCCACATCCAAAGTGGGGTTCTTGTTTTCTCTGCACACCCCGCGCAGGAACACTCACCCCACCCCCTCTCCTCTTCTGCCTTCGCACACTCACTCACTCACTCATCATCATCATCCACTCACTCACACTCACACTCACTCACACTCTCTCATCATCAACATCAGCATCATCACTCGCGCTCTCTCACACGCTCAGTCACTCACATACTCGTCATCATCATCATCATCATCATCATCATCATCATCATCATCATCATCAGCATCATCATCATCATCACTCGCACTCTGTC